TGGTGAAAGTTGGGTGTTAAAGTCCCCTACTATGATTGTGTTACTGTCATTTTCGCCTTTTATCCCTGTTAGCATTTGCCTTAAGTATTGAGGTGCTCCTATGTTGTTTGAATAAATATTTACAATTGTTATATTTTCTTCTTGGATTGATCCCTTGATCATTATGTAGTGTCCTTCTTTGTCTCTTGTAATAGTCTTTATTTTAAAGTCTATTTTGTCTGATATGAGAATTGCTACTCCAGCTTTCCTTTCATTTCCATTTGCATGGAATATCTTTTTCCATCCCCTCACTTTCAGTCTATATGTGTCCCTAGGTCTGAAGTGGGTCTCTTATAGACAGCATATATACAGGTCTTGTTTTTGTATCTTTTCAGGCAGTCTGTGTGTTTTGGTTGGAGCATTTAATCTATTTACATTTTAGGTAGTTATTGATATGTGTGTTCCTATTAATTTTTTTAATTGTTTTGGGTTTGTTATCATAGGTCTTTTCCTTCTCTTGTGTTTCCTGCCTAGAGAAGTTGCTTTCGGATTTGTTGTAAAGCTGGTTTGGTGGTGCTGAATTCTCTTAGCTTTTGCTTGTCTGTAAGGCTTTTAATTTCTCCATGGAATCTGAATGAGACCCTTGCTGGGTAGAGTAATCTTGGTTGTAGGTTTTTCTCTTTCATCACTTTAAATATGTCCTGCCACTTCCTTCTGGCTTGCAGAGTTTCTGCTCAAAGATCAGCTGTTAACCTTATGGGGATTCCCTTGTATATTATTTGTTTCTTTTCCCTTGCTGCTTTTAATATTTTTTGTTTGTATTTAATTTTTGAGGCTTTGCTTAATATGTGTCTTGGCATGTTTCTCCTGGAATTTATCCTGTATGGGACTCTCTGTTCTTCCTGGACTTGATTGACTATTTCCTTTTCCATATTAGGGAAGTTTTCAACTATAATCTGTTCAAATAGTTTCACAGTGCCTTTCTTTTTCTCTTCTTTTGGGACCTCTATTATTCCAATGTTGGTATGTTTAATGTTGTCACAGAGGTCTCTGAGACTGTCCTCAATTCTTTTCATTCTTTTTTCTTTATTCTGCTCTGCAGTAGTTATTTCCACTATTTTATCTTCCAGGTCACTTATCCGTTCTTCTGCCTCAGTTTTTCTGCTATTGATCCCATCTAGAGTATTTTTAATTTCATTTATTGTGTTGCTCATCATTGTTTGCTCTTTAGTTCTTCTAGGTCCTTGTTAAACGTTTCTTGTATTTTCTCCATTCTATTTCCAAGATTTTGGATCATCTTTACTATCATTATTCTGAATTCTTTTTCAGGTAGGCTGCCTATTTCCTCTTCATTTGTTTGGTCTGGTGGGTTTTAACTTGCTCCTTCATCTGCTGTGTATTTCTCTGTCTTCTCATTTTGCTTAACTTACTGTGTTTGGGGTCTCCTTTCTGCAGCCTGCAGGTTCGTAGTTCCCGTTGTTTTTGGTGTCTGCCCCAGTGGCTAAGTTTGTTTCAGTGGGTTGTGTAGGCTTCCTGGTGGAGGGGACTGGTGCCTGTGTTCTGGTGGATGAGGCTGGATCTTGTCTTTCTGGTGGGCAGGACCACATCCGGTGGTGTGTTTTGGAGTGTCTCTGAACTTGCTATGATTTTAGGCAGCTTCTCTGCTAGTGGGTGGGGTTGTGTTCCTGTCTTGCTAGTTGTTTGGCTTAGGGTGTCCAGCACTCTAGCGTGCTGGTCATTGAGTGGAGCTGGGTCTTAGCGCTGAGATGGAGCTCTCTGGGAGAGCTTTCGCTGTTTGATATTACATGGGGCCAGGAGGTATCTGGTGGACCAATGTCCTGAACTTGGCTCTCTCACCTCAGAGGCTCAGGCCTGACACCCTGCTGAAGCACCATGACTCTGTCAGCCACCCCTGCTCAGAAGAAAAGAGAGAGAAAGAAAGAAAGAAAGAAGGAAAAATAGATAAAGTTATTAAAATTAAAAAATATATATTATTATATATAAAAAAATGTTAAAGTAGTAAAAAAAAAAAACGGAAGAGAGAGCAACCAAATGCAAAAACAAATCCACCAATTATAACAAGCTCTAAAAACTATACAAGAAAAAAAAAAGGATGGACAGAACCCTAAGACCAATGGTAAAAGTAAAGCTATACAGGCAAAGTCACACAAAGAAGCATACACATACACACTCACAAAAGGAGAAAAAGGAAAATATATATATATATATATATATATACATTAAAAAATTTTTTAAAGGAAGAGAACAACCAAATCAATAAACAAATCTACCAATGATAATAAGCTGTAAATACCAAACTAAGATAAACATAAAACCAGAAACAAATTAGATGCAGAAAACAAACCCGAAGTCTACAGTTGATCCCAAAGTCCACCACCTCCATTTTGGGATGATTCGTTGTCTATCCAGGTATTCCACAGATGCAGGGTACATCAAGTTGATTGTGGGGATTTAATCCACAGCTCCTACGGCTGCTGGGAAAAATTTCCCTTTCTCTTCCTTGTTCGAACAGCTCCTGGGTTTCAGCTTTGGATTTGGCCCCACCTCTGCGTGTTCTTCGCTCAGACAGGACGGGGTTAAAGGAGCAGCTGATTAGGGGGCTCTGGCTCACTCAGGCAAGGGGGAGGGACGGGTACGGAATGCGGGGCAAGCCTGTGGAGGCAGAGGCCGGAGTGAGGTTGCACCAGCCTGAGGCGCGCTGTGTGTTCTCCTGGGGAAGTTGTCCCTGGATCACGGGATCCTGGCAGTGGCGGGCTGCACAGGCTCCCGGAAGGGGGGTGTGGATAGTGACCTGTGCTCGCACACAGGCTTCTTGGTGGTGGCGGCAGCAGCCTTAGCATTTCATGCCTGTCTCTGGGGTCCGGGCTGATAGCTGCGGCTCGCTCCCATCTCTGGAGCTCGTTTAGGCAGTGCTCTTAATCCCCTCTCCTTGTGCACCCCTAAACAGTGGTCTCTTGCCTCTCAGGCAGTTCCAGACATTTTCCCAGACTCCCTCCCGGCTAGCTGTGGCGCACTAGCCCTCTTCAGGCTGTGTTCACGCAACCAACCCCAGTCCTCTCCCTGGGATCTGACCTACGAAGCCTGAGCCTCAGTTCCCATTCCCCGCCTGCCCTGGCGGGTGAGCAGACAAGCCTCTCGGGCTGGTGAGTGCTGGTCGGCACCGATCCTCTGTGCGGAAATCTCTCAGCTTTGCCCTCTGCATCCCTGTTGCTGCGCTCTCCTCCGTGGCTCCAAAGCTTCCCCCCCACACCCCCCCGTCTTTGCCAGTGAAGGGGCTTCCTAGTTTGTGGAAACTTTTCCTCCTTCACAGCTCCCTCCCAGAGGTGCAGGTCTCATCCCTATTCTTTTGTCTCTGTTTTTTTTCTTTTTTCTTTTGCCCTACCCAGGTACGTGGGGAGTTTCTTGCCTTGTGGGAAGTCTGAGTTCTTCTGCCAGCGTTCAGTAGGTGTTCTGTAGTTGTTCCACATGTACATGCATTTTTGATGTAGTTGTGGGGAGGAAGGTGATCTCCACATCTTACTCCTCTGCCATCTTGAAGCTATCCTGAATGTGTATCCTTTATATGATTTGATGTTCCCCAAATTTGACACAAATCTAAAAAGCTTGAGGAATTCAGAGTTATAGAAAATGGCAATGACTAATTTGTTAATAGTGGAGGCATATTAAATATGAATTTGTCTTCATCTAAAAGTTGTCTTGCCTCACCTTTTTCACCAGTTTTCTTAGTGACACAGAGGTAGATGTAGGGGAGCCCACTAACTTATTGCTTTACATTGATTGGTTTTGAGATTTTCAGTATCTGTTATAAATTTTCATAGATTTACTCAGCATGTGATTTTGTGTTGTTTTATCAAGAATAGTAATTGTATTACCATTTTTCCAAGACAGCAAAGTAACTCCACATTAAAAACAACAATAAGAGCAAAGACAAAGTATATCATCTCTACATTATAAATTCTGTTGACATTTTAAAACCTGGAGCACAATGTTTGACTCCCCAACTTGACTTTTCACCTATCTCTGTTTTTCAGGATTCAATAAAAATAAGATTGATGAGAAAAAAATAGACTTAGTATCATACCTCTTACCTTTATTTCTGAGATGCCTTAATTCCAGAGAGTAGGACTTAAACTGAGGGTTTAAAACTTGCCCACAAAGCATAGGCTTATTCTTTTCTACGTCTGTATATTCTTTTCTTCTTTGCCATATTAGCTGGTCCTCTTAGAAAGTATGGTTGTATTGCCTTTATCCAATACATTCAGAGAAATTAATATTATTGAAAATTTATGTCCTCTGACATTAATCATTATTACCCACTGGTCATACTTCCATTATAGACTAATATTCTTCACATGCAGAAAAAGGGAACTTGATCCTCTCTGTTAGATGTAACACCAAGAGTTTGTTCTGAAACTGTACCGTAGCTCCTGTACAGTTGGTTCTCAAGGGCTGTGGAATACTGTTTGTTGGCACTTTCTCACTAAACACTGAAGTTGGGAGCCTTTTAAGTTCAGGTTCATTGAGCATCTTCTTTTTTTTTTCTGAAGAGTGAAAGTGCAAAGAAAGGAACCCTATAATCAAGATGTGTTCATGTAATCTCATGACAAAATGTAGAAGCTGTTCTACAATATTATTAACATTTTGGCCTAGAAGGATCTTCATATAGTCTCTCAGACTATAATGGATGTTCTTTTCCCTCTTAGCTAAGTTAATTCATAAACATTACCTCACATCAACATAATTTCATTATCAATTCAGCATTTAAAATTGATTGCTATCCACACAATATATGATATACTTGATTTTGTTTTTATGTATTTACCCAAGAATAGAATTTCATCCCATAGGTCAATTGCTTCTTAAAAATTATAGTTTAATTATTATCAGTAGTTAAATTAAATGTAATTACAGCCTTGAACTAATTCAAATATGATTGTACCTAATTATTCTCATGAAGTGTTTGTGTTAAAGCCAGTAAAATTTTTCATATGATTTTAAAGGTTTTCTGGGGTCAAGAACATTTGAATTGCCTAGTTCTTCTACATGAATTACTCAATGGATACCTTAAAGAGGAGGGAAATTTTGAAGTGCAAGTTTCTGAAACAGTGCCGCAAATTCCATCTCCTGTGGAAAAAAATCAGATTTTTAAAAGTGAACAAAGTTCAGATGACCTACGGACGGGTCTGTTTCAGTATATACAGGATGCTGGTAAGTAGCGATAGCTTCAGTGTGATTGTGTGTGTGTTTGTTTATTTTACCTGCACATTCAGTAAATAATAACACATCAAGATCACTTGAAAAGTAAGTCAATACCTGCAGTACAAAAATAGTACATTGCCATTCAGTCTCTCTTAAGGGAAACTTCTTGATTTGTTCCTGTCTTAAACCATGTAAACATGATCAACCAGCTTCTTTATATTCTTTTCTTTTATACTCATAATTTTTTCTTGTGTTCCCCTTCGAAAGCATACAATTAATTATACTTTCGTTTAACAGAAGCTTTGAAAATGCCTGGTGTCTATGAAGTCTTGTTTTACAATGAAACCGAAGATAGCCCAGGGATGATGTTATGGAGATATCCAGAACCTAGAGTGCTCACCCTTGTACACATAACTCCTGTGCCCTTCAACACCACAGAGGATCCAGATATTAGCACAGCAGACCTTGGTGATATGCTACAGGTATGGAATGGCTCTTCATTTCAAAATAAAAGACAGTGTGGGAAAGTGCTGATTTGATCATAGGAAAAATGTTGGGAGCATACCTATCTTCTCCATAAGTTGTATCAGAGAGAAATACACATGTATGTGCGTATACAGACACATACATATGTACACATACACACACACACACGCACACACACGAGACACACACATACTAGAAATTGTATAATAAGAGAATAATGTCATTCAGATTCATGGTACATGGCAATCCTGAGAGTTCTTAATTCTACTCTTCAACCTGTTACAGGTAGCTTACATAGTCTCCAGGTAGTAATGGGACAAACAGGTGTCATTGAGTTCAACACACATTTTCTGGGGACCTACCATGTGCTCACACTCTTCAGCATATTTAGAACTGTTCTATGAAATGAAATATGTCCCCATAAGGGCCAGAAAGGATGACTTAATTTTCATTTCATTTCCCGAGCTGAAAATGGTCTTGGGCCTCGTGGTAGGCTGATAGGAAAACCATCTAACCAGTGATCATATTCTGTATGATTTTGTGCAAAGTTTTTTGCTTGTCATTTCCCTGAGTGTGAATAGCACTATATTATTATTCTACTTATTAATATTCTACGGATCTGAATTTCTCCTAAAATTTGTTTTTCTCTTAGTTGTCCACCTGTTACTAGATCACATAACCATCCACTGGAAGTCATTCCTGATTGCTCTTTTTCCCTAACTGCTCACATCTGATTCATCAATAAGTCGTGTCAGCTCTACCTCCAAATATGTCCCTATTCCATCTACTTCTTTCTGTTTCTACTGGTACAACTTGAGTTCAAGCTACCATCTTCTGTTCCCTACTACAGTAGCTTCCTAATTGGTCTCTATGATTCCATCCTTGACTCCTTGTAATGCATTTTCCAAACAACAGCTAGAGTGATCTTTTGAAAATGTAGGTTAGGTTACGTCACTCCCCTAACTTAAAACCTGATGGTGGCTCCCTTTAAGACTAACAGAATTCGGTATCTTACTATGGCCTGTAAGGACCTCTGATCTCTGCACTGCCTACCTCTCTTGTATGTCTTGATCACTTATCTCCAGCCCCTGGTATAGAAATATGAGCCAGTTTTTTTAATGACTGCTCTACACTTAACAACTCAGAATAATAATACAAATCAGAGGAGACCACAGTACATATTAACATTGGTATTATTATATGCTTATTTAATTCTTGTTTAAATTCCTGGTTATAATATAGTCAGATGTTCACCTTCTGAATTGATAACAATGAAATGTGTCATCATTTTGTCAAGTGAACTAGAGTATGTAGAACTATCCAGTTTGCCAAGATGTCAACAGTATCTACTTTCTTTTGTTTTTTTTTTTCTTGTGATGAGAACTTTTAAGATCTACCCTCTTAGCAACTCTGCTTTGATTCTTAAATCCTCACATTTGCTTCCCCTCTGTCAAGGTCATATTCATGATTATCTTCTCTCCCAGTATTCTTGGATTATTTTTGCTAAATAAACTGGCATTGTCTTTGAATCCTGCTGTCTTGTTAGACTTGCCTAAATGTAGAACATCTGTAGTATTTTCAGTCAAAATGAAAATACTTGGGCTGCCCTGGTGACACAGTGGTTGGGAGTCCGCCTGCCGATGCAGGGGACACGGGTTCGTGCCCCGGTCCGGGAGGATCCCACATGCCGCGGAGCGGTTGGGCCCGTGAGCCATGGCTGCTGAGCCTGCGCGTCCGGAGCCTGTGCTCCGCAATGGGAGAGGCCACAACAGTGAGAGGCCCACGTACCGCAAAAAAAAAAAAAATGAAAATACTGATATATCAAAGTTTCAGCATCATGTAAAGGCTTCTTTATAACTGATTTTGGGATTCAGATTTATAGTTACATGTTAGTTAACATAAGCCTGATAACTATTGGTTGGTAGTATTATGCCAGTTGTATTAAACAGAGCATTTAAGGTAGTAAGTACATTCACTAGTGACATGTTCATCTTCTCACTGCCACCGGAGAGGCAGGAGAGCATAGTGGTTAAGAGAATGAACTATAGCCAGAATGCCTGGGTTCAAATTCTGGCTCTGCCATTTGCAAACTGTGTCACCTTCGATAAGTAACTTAATCTCTCAGCCTCAGGTTTTCTGTTTTGCTTTTCTTTCATTAGTAAAATGAGGCCACTAATAATGTCATGCTTATAGGAATTAATATTTATAAGACACACAGAACAATGCCTGGCACATGGTAAGTGCTGTGTAAGTATGTGTACTACCAGTACTGTTACAGTGATTATCGTCAGAAGTCTTTTCATCAAGCAGAAGCATAGGCTAGATCAGGGAGAGCTGGGGTCTAACGGCTCTACAGACCAGCTGGAGTAGTCTAGGAGATCTGGCATAGTCCGAGGGGCCTATACAGTAGACTTGGCACATAAGCATTGCGTGAAGGAAGCCTGGCAGGTTTCAACAAACAAAGAGCTGGTATCAGAGAGGTTCTGCTACATTTCCTATCTTGTTGGAAAGAGGAGCTGATACATGGCAGAGTTCAAAGACAAGGGTGCTGGCCTACGAAGCAAGACAGGGTTGTACCTACTCTAAGCTGAAGGGGAAACCTTGATCCCAGTGGTAAGAAAGAACACCCAGAATTGACAGCTGGGATGGAAGAACAGAGCAGGACTGGCAGAAAGTTGCCATGCTACTGAGCTCCCAGCCTAAGCTTATATTCCCCCAGCTAGGAGCAGAATTTGTCCCAAGGGTTGGGGTGACCTCATCTGTAGAAGTATGACAGCTTTTTCCTTGAGTGCTTGCAGTGCCAGACCCTGAGCATACTCCTGGGGATTCAGAGCCAGATAAGACACTGTCTACTCATCAGAAGCTCTCTGTCTAGCAGGCAAGTTTCTCTGGTTGTTTGGGGCAGAAGAATTTCCCTATTTTCAGCATTCAAGCATTCAAGCATTCAGCATTTAACCTCTCTGTTGTCAGAATCATTTTCCTGTTCTATGTGATTATCTCTAGGTCTGTACTGGAGGCACCGCTAAAATATTGAAGTACCAATCCTGAATAGCAGGGAACTTATAAAAAGAAAGCCCTTTATCAACACGGTATAGTGTAGATAATATAGACATTAAAGTCTCAACTGCTGACTCCTGTTCCCCTCCCCCTTTGTATTTTACTAACTCAGTGACCATAGGCAAACTGCTGGTCTCTTAGAGCCTTAATTTCCTCAACTGAACACCGGAGTTAATGCTGTTTACCTTGCAGAGTTGTCACGAGATTTAAGTGAAATATTATCGCTAAAACAAATAAGTGCCTTACACATAGTGAGCTCTTAATAAATGTTAATTTCCTTCCCTCCACTTCTTCACAAGCAAATGCCTGGACCACTAAAAAGCCTCCTAAGTGAAATTCTAGCCTTCAATCTCTTCTCCTTCCAACCTATCCTGCTAACTTCTTAAAGGAACAGGTGGATTGTGTCATTCCCTGACAAAAACCTTCAGCGGTCCTATCACTGCTAGACTGACCTTGAGGGCCCTGCAGAACCTCCCGACCCAGCTTTGCCTTTCCTTCCCTTCTGCGTGATCTATGCTCTAATCAAACTGGCCTATTCAGCATTCCCGAACCAGCCTGTGGTCTCCCACATCCGTACCACTCCCTCTTCATTTGAGTCTCTCCCTTTTCTGCTGAAATCCTATCCACACATCCAGACAGCTCCAGTGCCATCTATTCCATGAAGCCTTTCCTGGACACCATCTCCAAACATGATACTGCCTTTCTCTGAAGTTCTGTAACACTTCATGGCACCACCTTTATGCTGTTTCTCACCTATTCCTCACATTTTAATTATCCATATCTTGTCTCCCTCCTAGACTGTAGGTTTCCAAAGGAAATGACCACATCTAATTTTCATTATGCTCCGTATAGTATCCACTGCAGTGGAGATGCTCAGTATATTGAATGGATCAATGAGTGCATGGATGTCTGTGCTCCTGTTCTGTATAATTCAAAAGCATTACATTGTTTGTCATTATTTTATGGCACTATTGAATGCATTTGGTTTTACAGACTGAATTATGGCAGGATGCACTGTGTTATGCTTCAGTGGCATTACCTACTATAAACAGGCAGTCTAATGTCATTACATTACACAGACTCTTGGTGAGATCATTGACTCTTCTGCCAAGCCCACTGCCCCCTAGGCAGAGGCTCATCCTTAAATACAAAAACAAGTTCATCTCCTTGGTTTTAGTCCTAAAAACAGAATCAAGCTTGGATTAATTTTTTCCTTCAGGACCATTTAGTTCATAAGAAACTGACCTTATAGAGTTCACTTATATAGAACCCTTAAATATATCTGTTTATATCTCTTTCCATAATTAATATTAGGATTTATAAACAGGCTCCTCAAATGACTTTATGGAATTTATTTTGTGATTATACTGAAAAATATGGAAAACGTGTCTATAATATTAAACTAGCCATAGGTTCAGAATAAAGACCCTGAAATTAATGTTCACAGAAAACCAAAGGAGCTTATTTTGTGGTCAGTTTTATCACATTAAATTTTAAGTGTTAATAGTATATTTAGATGTCAATAAAATTAGGATCTGGGCTTCCCTGGTGGCGCAGTGGTTGAGAGTCCACCTGCCGACGCAAGGGACACAGGTTCGTGCCCTGGTCTGGGAAGATCCCACATGCCGTGGAGCGGCTGGGCCCGTGAGCCATGGCCGCTGAGCCTGCGCGTCCGGAGCCTGTGCTCCGCAACGGGAGAGGCCACAACAGTGAGAGGCCCGCGTACCACAAAAAAAAAAAAAAAATAGGATCTGTAAGTTAGAGTAATGTCATCAACCTAGAAGGAATGTTGTGCTATTTAAATGAGCTGAAATATAAGAAATTTCTGGCACTGTGTCTGACACATACTGTAAGTTTTCCTCTCTCCTCATCCTGTTGTGTACACTGCCTACTGAGGATTCCATTTAGGAAATACCCGTGTTCTCAGATTGTAAATTTT